GTGGGCATGATTTATTGATAGATAATGTGCTATACATAGTATCTTGACTATATTATTAAAACTAGCTGTAAAATATTAATGAGAGAAGAAATAGGGATGCAGAGAACTGACAGCTTTCATAAGAAGTCCTGTGTTTGAGAACCTCTTTATAACTAAATATAATATTATAGCACCCATCTGTCAGAATATATTACAGCACTGCTGCTATTTTGGCTCCGATGCAAGAAATACTTTCCTACTGAAGCATCAGGCACCAAAACCTTATTTTCCACACTAAAAAGTCTGCAAGTGTTCTAGTGGAGCTTAGATAGAAATCGTATTATTGGTCATCTGCATCTTTCTATTTTTTTAAGGGTTTGCTTTATTTATTATATGAACACATGAAGCTAGCTTGAGTTAGAACATTAGTCTTTTGCTTGAGTGTGCAGTAACCATGAGATCCAGGTGCTGATTTGTTTGCAAACAGACCAGTTATCTGATTTGACTCTAGGCAGACTGAAAAAATGGCATACCATGCAGATCTGTATTTAGGGAAGAAACCAGCAAAATGTCAGCATGATAGGTTCAGATATATTTGTATCCAGCACATTTAAAGTTACTTTTGAGGAACATATGTTACTTTGCAACTTTGGTGAAATCCTACATTCAGGACACTAGCCAGTTGTTGGGTTGTTGTTGTTATGGTATACATTTCTATTCTGCACAAGATCTCACCTGGAACACTTCAAGTTCTGGATATCATAGTTTAGGAAGTGTATCAAGGAGCTGAAACATGTCCAAAGGAGAAAAAGAAATAAGATAAAGCATGTGGAAATACAGCTCTAAGAGGAATGCTTGAGGGAGCTGGGTTGTTCAACCTGATATGAGAAAACTGAGAGGCAAGATGGTAGCCATCCTCAAATATTTGGAAGACTTGTGTGGAAGATAAAGCAAGCTTGTTTACTCCTCTAGGGAGTAAAATCGAAATCAATGGATTCAGACTCTAAGAAGGGAGATTTTGATGAAATATTTATTCTTGGTTCTAAAAGCTGTTCAACAATGGGCTGGATTACCTTGAAAGCTGATGGACTTGCCTTTGTTGAAAGTTCTTAAAAAGAGATTGGAAGGCCATCTCTCACGGATGCTTTAGGTGCAGATTTCCTGCACTGGCAGGGGCTTGATATCCCTCCCCACTCTACAGTAGAATGATCCTGTGATTCTAGGTACCCCTGAGAGAGTAATCTGTAACATTAAAAGTAGGCAGCCCCAGTAGTATTTTCTGCAAGAGCATCCTTGACATTTTGGGTTTTTTCAAAAAAGCAGTCCACTTACCAGAGTGAAAACAAAGTCTGCATCCTCTGCTGCTACGCAAATTGACAGATTATTGTTGCTCAGTTCAGACAATTACCATATCTACTATTGTGGGCAAGAATCCCATAGAAGGAATGGAGTAGCCCTCATAGTCAACAAAAGAGTGGGAAAAGCTGTACTGGGATACAATCTCAAAAATGATAGAATGATTTCAATACGAATCCAAGGCAAACCTTTCAATATCACAATAATCCCAGTTTATGCATCAACCACCGATGCTGAAATTGACCATTTCTATGAAGACTTGAAACACCTTCTAGAACTGACACCAAAGAAAGATGTTCTTCTCATTATAGGGGACTGGAATGCTGAAGGAGGGAGTCAAGAGATAATAGGAACAACAGGAAAGTTTGGCCTTGGAGTTCAAAACGAAGCAGGGCAAAGGCTAATAGAGTTTTGTCAAGAGAACAAGCTGGTCATCACAAACACTCTCTTCCAACTACACAAAGGGTGACTCTACACATGGACATCACCAGATGGGCAATACTGAAATCACATTAATTATGTTCTCTGCAGCCAAAGATGGAGAAGCTCTATACAGTCAGCAAAAACAAGACCTGGAGCTGATTGTGGCTCTGATCATCAGCTTCTTATAGCAGAACTTAAGCTTAAACTGAAGAAAGTAGGAAAAACCACTGGGCTAGTCAGGTACAGTATAATCTAAATCAAATCCTTTATGAATACACAGTGGAAGCGAAGAACAGATTTAAGGAACTAGATTTGGTGGACAGAGTGCCTGAAGAACTATGGATGGAGGCTGGTAACTTTGTACAGGAGGCAGCAACAAAAACAATCCGAAAGAAACGGAAATGTAAGAAAGTAAAGTGGCTGTTCAATGAGGCCTTACAAAGTCTCAGCAGTCTTTCATTAAGGTCTTTATATTATATAGTTATATACCATGTCCTAGACCTGTTATTTATCATGATAAAGGAACATATTTCACACTCCATATATTCGTCTTTTTTTCTCAAAAAAAAAAAGCAGCTTGGGAAAAAACGGAAAAAAACTATGGAAAAAACAGAAAAAAACTATTCCCCCCCCCCTATTTTTTCTGTTTTCCACCCAGGCCTTTTGTGAAGAGGAACCGATTAAAGCAATCATTCCTGGAAGTGAGCCGTCCCCTCAGTCGTCTTGGGCAGAAGGAGCTGACACCGTGTTATTTAAATTACCCCTGGGAATGCGAGAGATGTCTCTAGAAGAAGGCCAGGCTAGGGAGAAAGTGGGAGGAGAACAGCCAATAGTGGAAGGTTTTCTAATGATGACAGAGTGGGAGGAACAGGCAGGAAGAGGAGTTGGGGTTCACAGGAGTGGTTAGACACAAGGGAGGTGCGACAAGACAAGGGAGAAGAACCTTATGTATTCTCTTTCCCAAAAAAAGAGGAAAGAGATAGTGATAGAGGAGGCAAGCCCAGACGCAGATGCGGAGCAACAGGTATAGAAGTCCAGTTAGGGGAGCTGGACCCACTAGAATGTACAATCTATGTTCACCCGAGAGGGAAGGGTCCTTGGTTCTTTGCTGTTGCCATTGCATCTGCACAAAGTCATCCAGTGTAGTTGTTTTGAGTGGTCAGGGACTTAGTACATGCCCCACCAAAAGAACAAAATATTGACTACTCCACAACCCGCTGTGAGGAATTTGCACGACACTTTACAGATAAAATCGCTCGGATCCGCTCTGACCACGTGACCACGGAAACTGTCGTGGATGTAACTTTGTCCTGCTTTAATGGACACTTCTCAGCTGGTGCAGCCTAATGATGTGGACAGGCTTCTTGAATGCCACCACTTGTGTGCTCCCATCGCTTGCCCCAGCTCCTGCCAACCTAGCAGTTTGAAAGCATGTAAATGCAAGTAGATAAATAGGTACCACCTTGGTGGGAATGTAATGGCGTTCCGTGTCTAGTCGCCCTGACCACGTGACCACGGAAACTGTCTTCGGACAAACGCTGGCTCTATGATTTGGAGACGGGGATGAGCACCGTGCCCTAGAGTCAGACACGACTGGACTAAATGTTAAGGGCAACCTGTACTTTTGCCTTTACTGTACTGTACTCAGCACAGCCGTGCAGCTTTATCCAGGACGTTCTGTTTCTTGAGACCCTGACCTTACTGGCAGCAATCGAATGCAAAAATTACATCAGAAGCAAGTTATGATATGCACGTACTGTACTGAAAAGCCGAAAAATAGGGACAGGGGCTATTTCAAGCCAGAAACAAACAGGCAAGTCCACACCACAACCAACTCGAGGAAATGGAGCAGGGACTGAATACTGTACTAAATTCAACCTTCTATATATCTAAGTCACAACCTAGTCAATGGACTTACTCCTAGGTAAGAATGGGTGCAAATTTGTAGCCTAAAGGTGCAAAGCTATTCGCCCTGTCTGGGGAATAAGCAGGTTCTCTTAAGAGATAGCTCTCTTATTTATTTAAATTATTTATAAGCGGCCTTTCTTCTCCATAGGGGACCCAAGTCTTGTGTATGTATGTGTAAAAAAGAAAACCGAAGTATTACGATCCCTTAGAGTGCAACAGCTGTATTTCAACGTGATCTTGGGTGGATTACAACACACCAGACATTTCTGAAAGCTCACACTGGAACAAACCTTTCCTTTTGTAATCCACAATTTATTTATTTGTTTGTTTGTTTATTCTATTTATACCCCGCCTATCTGGTCATTGCGACCACTCTAGACGGCTTACAACATACAATACAACACAAATATAAGAAAAAAGGCGGAGTACAATGATGTGTTGTTTGTTTCTTGTTTTACACTGGGAATAAGCGACACTGAAGTCTGGTGGCGTCTGTGCCACACAAGGGGGGGAAACGAGAGAGCGCAAACGGAACACAACTGACACGCATCGGCCGCGTCTGCCGCCGCCGCCGCCGCCGCTGCTGCTGGACCGCGACGATGCCGACGCAGACGCAAACGGGCCCCTCCTTGCGGCTGCTGCGACTCCCCCATCCAAAATGGCGCCAAAGGCGGAGTCCCGCCCTTGACGCTGCTGCTCCCGAGAGTCCTCCTTTTCCTGGCTGCGGCGGAAGGACGAGCGTGTGCGCCAAGCACCTGGCGGTGGGGCGGGAGTTAACTGTTTTAAGAATGGCCCAAGAGCCCGCGGAGCACAGGTCAGTTGGCACCCGCAGAAGGAGCGGCTTCTGTTTTAACGCCCAGGGTGGGCGTCCTCCGTAGTGAGGGAGGGAAGAGGTTTAGGCATTAGTGGCAAGGCCATTTCTTTCGGGTACTGAAGCTTGACTTCAGCGGTAGAGTGAAATCATTAGGAAAAAAAGTGCCTCTGAGCATGTCTAGAGAGCATTCGCTTTGCACATAGAGACAGCGTCAGAATTCTTTCCCGCACCTTTAGGATTTCCGAGCATTCTTCTTAAGGGGGCGTGGACTCCGGACCCTTTTAAAAGTAACTTAACTATTGTATGGTGTTATTCTTATTCTTGCTACTTTTAATGCCGGCAGAATCGAAGTGGACGTCTTTTCAAATTCCGCATCCGCTCTTCGCGACGCAGTTTGTTCAGAGGACCGACAACTGCTGACTCGGAATTGCTTGAAAGGACTTTCTTTGTCCAGTCACCGAATTCTGTTCACTGCACCTTTGGAGTCGTAAGCTACTTCAAATACTTGAGAGGGCTTGTTTTGGACTAAAGCCCCCAGAATTCTGAGTGGGGAACTTCCGGCAGACTTTTGGGTGTTAAAAAATAAAAATGACAGCCTGATCCCAGGTTGTGACAGTTTCCCTCACCTTTGAAATTTTATATACCTTACCCAGAAATCCATACAAATGGGAAAATGCACGTGCATAATTTCTGAAGGCACACAGAAGCCTGTGAAATAGTATATCATCACTTAAACATTGATTTGACTAACCTACCCTTGTACGGTTTCAGCACTGCTAGGGGACTAGTTCAAACAGAATTCTCTGTTCCTTGCAATGTTAGTTTAAAGGATCCTAGAGCTGCTTGTGAAGATGTGCATGATTTTGGTATGGCGCTGTGTTGTGGTGGTCTCATCCACGGAGTGATGTCACAGTAGTACAACTACCAGCTTTGAAGGCTAGAAGGTGGGTGGCGGCTATCCAACAATATCTGGAAGGCTGCACATTCTTCACCTATGGTTACAGTACTACAGTGTAGACAGTACACTGTTGTTTAATACGATTGTATGTACTTGGTACTTTTAAATAGAGCATTAATATGCACAGCTGAAGAAATGTACCTGTAATTTTTTATTGAGTATCTAATTTGTGGCCTTGTTGGCTTAGTCCATGCAGAATCTGATATAAACTGAGGAATATATGACCAATGCTGTTGCTCCCTGTTTTGGCTTTATTCAGCAGGAAGGGACATTCGACAGCAGTTGCATCCACCACCCTGGCCACAAAAGCCTATTACATAATTTGTTAGTTTTGGAGGTGCCACGAGACCCTTAATTGCTTTTGCTACCATAAACTCACACAGGTAATGATTCTGGAAGGAGTTTAAGATTACCGACAGAGTTCACTGTGCTGTAGAATGATGAGGACAGAGAAAACTGATTCTAAGTCAGCCTGTTTGTATTCTAAACTGTTGCTGTTTGTGTTGTGGTGGTCCTTAGAAGTGTGTTTCTCTAACATATCAAACACTTGGTCTCTGAGACCCCACAGGGCTGCTATGCATATCAAAAGTGGCCCAGTGTTTTGAAATTTACATACAGCTACTGCAGCTGCATCTAAAATTTCCACAAATAAACCGGCAAAAAGCGCTTATACAGTACTGTACCATGAAGGACACAAGTAGAAAATGTGCTTTAGAACAGCAGTGCCTGCTGCAGTCAAACTGAAGGCAAGTAGATGGTTGGACGGGGTGTTTTGCATGTCTCCTGAAATGGCCATCCCAAACACAGTAATCATTTCTCCTAGAAACATTAGAAGCATTCTTTTCCAGTGCCGTGGGAAAAGAATATCTCTATTGTTTATAAATAAATTGTACAGTAGTTATTCCATGGAATTATAGAATAATTGAGTTGGAAGGGGCCTTTAGGCCATCAAGTCCACCCCCCGGCTCAATGAGTGCTGTTTTCATTGTCAACGTCTGTCAAAGCAGGAGACCTTGCCTAGGAGGAAACATCACCAGACATTCCTCTACTACTTGGGGACTTTGTATCAGGAGTCATATTTCTGAGGCCCTTAGGGCCCTCAAAAATGTGTGAAAACTGTGAACTGTGTTAATTCCTCAAAAGCTCACCTTCCCTTTCTTTCTCTAAATATATCAGGTAACCCCCAAAACCTGTGAGAGTACAGGACAAAGATGTTGTCAAGGCCCAAGCCAGGGGAGTCAGAAGCAGATTTGCTGAGGTTCCAAAATCAGTTCCTGGCAGCAAAATCTTCACCAGCAGTGAAAATTGTAAAGAAAGCAGATAAGAGGAGAGGGGATATTGGGAGTGGAGAAGATGAGAGACCGCCACTGCAGTGCGACAGGGATGTGGTGACATTGGATGGTAAGTCTGTTGGAAGGTGTTTTGGTTCATTTAGTAGGATTAAATGAGAGGGTTGCACATATCTGAATTAATGAGTATATATATATCTACTATATATTGTCTTGAGATTTCAGTTGTAGCTCTGCCCGGACTTGATGTGTCACAGGCAGACTAGCAGTTTCTGCACCCATTGAGGCTGTTTCAGTTGTGTCAATGCTTCCCCAAATTATTTCATTCAGTTTGTGTGATGACAGTAGAATGCCACTGGGCTACCTCAAGTAGTTTTGGCTTTTACCATCTCAAGGTACCATCTCACTTTGAGAGAATTTGTGGAGCGGGGTCAGGATTCTGTGTGCTGTCCCTGCTCTGCCTCTAGAACATTTCATGAAAAGCGAGACCATAATTGTGATTCCTGATCCTATATACAGCTTGTAGATGAGAAATGTTTTTTTTAAAGACACCTCTTAAAATACTGCAGCCAATATTGTTTGTTGAGGTGTTGTTGGATTTGTAGCATGAAAAGCAAGTCTTCCCATCTCTGTACCTGTGCTGCACAAGTGGAGATCAAGGCAAGGCTGGGGTTATCTGAGGTCATTCCCCATCCTCCCACGATGTATTCTGTAACTTTAGTTTTTGAAGAGTAGAGTTGCTGGCAGGTGGAAATCTGGTGTCTCTTGTGCCCATGTCTGAATCTTGTTACATCTTTTAGGGAATCAGGTGGTCCTTTATTCTAGGTAATGTAAACTTTTCTACGAAGTTACTGTAATGTGGCTCTCAGTTATATATTATAATGTTGGCATGTTCCATCTGTGAATCTTGTAGCAATCACATACATATATTTAGCTGGGAACTGCTCCACCATTGGAAGAAAGTCTTTAAGTTCACTGGGTTTTTAATATTCTTACTGTTGACAGACTTAAAGGGGAAAAGAGAAAAAAGAGGGGAAAAGACAATATTGGGGCACCCTAAAGACAAACAGATTTGTTTCAGTGTAAGCATTTGGGGATCAAAATTCACATACTGTTTTGTCTGAAAAGTGGATTTTGATCCACAAAAGCTTACATTGAAACAAATCTGTTAGCCTTTGAAGTATCATACTTTTCCCCCTCCTTCTTTTGCTTTCTACAACATTTTGCTCTTTCCCCTTTTCCTCTCTCCCCCCCCTAATTTTGTCAACATGCTGAGACAGACTAACACAGTTACCTCATATTGTTCTATTGTGAGCCTAGGTCTTCAAATCATGTAGCTTCACAGTGGGCAGAAATTAGATCAGGATATACTTGCAAATCTCTCAGTGATTTGCGGTGTATTTCTACAGAGTTTGGTCTCTCCGTAGTGTTTGTAGAGACAATTGTATAACCCTGTCTTCAGTTTTCTACAAGTGATATTTAGTAAATCTAAATGTACTCTTAACTGCTGGTGAGTAGAGATCGGGGTATTCACCCGCACAGGTGGACATAACGAGGGATGGGACTCGCCTGTCTGCCGCCGGTGGCGGCTCCACGCTCCCTTCCAGTCACTCTGGAGCTCATGGTCGATTAACTACTCCTGGCAGGAGGAGGAAAGACAAGCGTCCCCGACAGGCTGACGAGTAGCTAGTTGACGGCAAGCTCCGGAGCAACAGGAAGGGAGCACGGAGCCAGCAGCAGACGGGTGAGTGGACAGTCTGGCCCCAGGGAGCCGAACCCTTGTTATGTCCATCTGTGTGGGACAAATACTCCCATCTCTATTGGTGAGCATTTCTGATGCCCGTAGATCTGAGAAATAAAGAGCTGAAGCTGCCATCTTTGCAGATGACACAATCACTCCCACTTGCATTTAGTTCTGAATCTACAGTAGAATGATGTTTCTGTGGTTCTGCAAGAGCCAAGTGGCATTTTTAATTTGTGGTGCCTATCCATACCTGTTCTTCTTTCTGTGCAAAGTCTGGTCCAGCTCAGGACCCTCTGTGGAATGCTCTGGAACTCCTGACCATAGGAGGCTAGGCTCATTCCTTTGCTGCTCATAAGCAGACTTTTTTTTTGTAAAGGGTGGTGGTGGTGAATCAGGCAGGCTTTTGCCATCTGTCCGTTCCTGAAAAAGGCATTTGTTACCAGTTGGCTGCTGTGTTATCTTTAATTATGTGTTTTTAATTGTTTTGCATGTTACTTATCAAAGGCAACACTCTACCTTGCAATGTATGTGTTTTTTGTATATCCTTGAATTGCCCATTAACTTTTGAAGCCCTCTGATACCTAATTGACAGAGTTGCTGCATTTTTAGTAATTAAAATAGTAATTCCGAATGCACCTTTTATCAGAATTGTAGCAAGTACTCTAGTAAGAACAGCATAAAGTTCCATGTCTCTTTCTCCATGAAATGGAAGATGCCTGAGGTTTGGTAATACTAGATATGTTGTTTGTTTTCTTTGTTCTCCCAGGATTTCCTGATGTGCCCCCATCTTTAACACCAGCTCCTCCAAAGAAATCCAAATTCAAAAGGGCCCATGTCCATTTTGATGATGACCCAGGGCAGCTGTTAGATCAAGCTGATCAACACATCACAGCAGTCTTCAACAAAATCATTGTGTGTACTGTTTGTAGAAACGATTATCATAATGGTTAAACATTATGTGATGTTGATGGATGTGTACTATAGCTTGGGCTGTAGGCAGAAAAGAAAGAGACCTAAATCCAACATGACACACTTTTCCTTGGGACATTGACTGGCAGTGGATGCTAGCTTTGGTGCAAATTTCTGGTGCTAGAGATCTTTGTAGTTGAGGCTGTGGCTTTTTCTGCATTCTGAGCATGAGTTTCACCATTGAGCTCTGCCCCTTCATCGGGGGCACATGCCTGAAATGTAGATGTGTTCTTAGTCACTTGGTTTACTCACCTTGTGCTAACTGTGTTTCATGGGCAAAATCTGACTGTGTCCATTTTGCAGTAGAACAGACACAGTCAGCAGTATAGACTCCACTGTATTCTCCTTCCACCTCCAACACCTTTCCTGTAGCATTGGGAACCCTCTGGAGAAGATTTGAGAGGCTTTCGAAGGAGTCTGAAGGGACAAGAGTTCCTATTGCACAAGGGGCAATGCAGTATCTTCTGTACAGAGAATAGAATTGTCCTCATCCAATGAGTGTGAACTAGAATCTGCTCAGTTCTTATAGGCTGTCTCTTTTTAGTCTAGTTTAAAGTGAAGATTGAAAGAGTTGGGGAGCTTATATAAGCAGTTATTTTATGGCTTAGGAAAGGGTTTAATGCAAGCCATCCAGATCTAAGTCCAGGCTCTTTCTGTAGGATTGTATTACTTCATAACACTTTGGGGGGGGGGAACCAACCCAACCTCCAGTAGTATTGTCTCTTTTGTCTGCAACAGGAACATGACACAAGCACTGCTAGTGTGACCATGCCAGTGTTTACAGGAGATCCATTTCCCAGAGTTTTTCACAGGTCGGAAATAAAAACAGAGGTGAGAAAAGCAACTTTATTTTGACTTGTTACCTGCCCACTTACTTTTTAAAAAATGTATAAATTATTCTTTAACTTCTGTGCTTTACATTGGAGTTTAATGTCATCTGCTCCTGTTGACGTTCACTGCATTTTCATTCCATCTGTAAGCTGCTTTGAAGGTTATGGCTAATAAAAGTTTTAAGCAAAATGCCATGAGAAACAGTTGAGGCCTACAGTGCAGAACTGGAAGCACATATGTGCTTAAGTGAGAAGCACATATGTTGAGTTTCCGTTGTGAGTGATGTGCTTTGCAAAATAGTGGGGCAATCCTTGACTTTGGTGGATCTCAAGATTGCTAGATTTCGTTGGGATTGAAGCTCTGATGTTTCATAGAACATCTAGGATTTCAAGCCCGCTAAATACAGCTTTGAATGAAGCTGTGATGGCTTGATTTTCACTGCCTTATGCTGAGCCAGGTGGTCAGTTTGGTAACCCTGACTGGCAGACATACTGTAAAGTTTTAAGTTGGATTTTTTCCTAGTCGTGCCTGGATGTACTGAGAATTCAACTTGCAACTTTCCAAATGCAATGCATGTGCTGTATCACTGTATAATGTTCTTTTCTTGAGCAGGAGGTCATAGGAAGAAACAAATCCTCCTGGGAGAAAATAATACTGCAGTAACCATATGTCTAAAGCTTCTTGCCTGTCTCTAGCATTGCAACAGAGGCAGAAGTAACTGTTCTATTCCTTATGGACTTCTTAGGGAATGGAAAATGCATTTCTGCAGTTGGTGGATGACAACTCCTATCATTCACTGTTTGTTGTCTTGCTTAAGAGTGACGGGAGGTGCATTTGGGAGGGCTACATGTTGTCGGAGAATGTACCAGGCCTGTCAGTTAGGTCTGTTTTGTCAAGGCACTGTGCTGAATTAGAAGGGATTCGGTCCTGTGAAGTTTGGATTTTTTTCCAAGTAATCATAGGGTACATCAAAAACATCTTTGTGGTCTTCAGACAAGGTTTAAAATCCATCTTTAATTTATTTTGATGATTTGTCATGGGCTGTAGGACAGAAATGAATTTTTGAAGAGATTCAGAGAAAGTCCATCACTTTACTGCTTCTGTCTGGTGTGGACTTATTCATACAGGCAGATGAGGCAGTAGAATAATGTGGTGGGAAACAGACAGCTCTTCTTTGTGAGGATATCTAGTTTTAAATGTCAGCAACATAAATACAGTGGTGCCGCGCAAGACGAATGTAATTCATTCCGCGAGGTATGCTATCTTGCGAAAAAATTGTCTTGCTGAAAGCGGCTTTCCACAGGAATGCATTGCAATGCATTCCTATGGGAACCTCGCAAGATGAATGAATTTTTTTCATCTTGCAAAACATCGGTCTCGGGGGGAAAAAACCATCTTGTGAAGCACGGCCATAGAAAAAGCCATCTTGCGAGGCACCATAGCAATCAAAACAACCATTCGTCTTGCGGTTTTTTCGTCCCGTGAGGTGTTCGTCTTGCGAGGCACCACTGTACCTCCCTGCAGACAGAAAATTGTTTCAGCAGGACAAAAGGTTTTGCTCTGTCCCCTGTGTTTCTAATATGAGAGAACTTTTAAAAGTTACTGCCCCACCTCCACCCCCACCAGAGCTGGTATAGTATAGTCATGGATAGATGGAGTGTTGGAAAAGAGCCTAGGAGAATTGGGTTCAAATCTCCACTGAACCTGGCATATTCATTGATGGTTGTTGGTGGTAATGGTACAACCGCTCCTTAAATATCTCACATACCCTGAAACCCTGTTAGGGTCACTGCAAGTTGGACATAACTTGTCAGCACATAACATACTGTTTTTTGTTTGTTTGTTTGTTCGATTTATATCCCGCCCATCTGGTATATTCTACCACTCTAGGCGGCTTACAGAATATCAAAACAATTAAAAACGTAAAAACATTAGTGTACAACAATAACAAATAGTACAGGAATAAATTAAGTCTGAAGTGATAAAGTTCAGGGTTTTCTCACTTCATTGGTTGCATATATAAACTAGATCTTCTAAGCCTATGATGCTGGAGGATTATGGGAGCTGCCGTCTTAACACAGTTGGAAGGGCACAAAGTAGGGGAAGATTGCCGTAAGCTGCTTTAACACATTCTGATCCCAGTCCCTCAACACCCTCCACATGCCATTTTGAAATTTTATATAATAAATATGCATAATAAATGTAGGGATATATCTGATGAACACGTTTCCAGCTTCCATAGTCATTTATGCAAGCTCAGCAGAGTTGGAATTAACTGCGTTTTCTCCTTAAGCACAAAAATTTGAACTTTTTATGTTTATGGCATAGCATAAATGTTATTTTTAGTTCAGCTGTGTTATGCTGTGTTTGCATTGTGTTTGCCTGTGCTGTGGACCTATTGCGTTTTTACCCAAGGGATTGCCTGTCAAAATTGGCAGGTAAATTCTGTTTAATAGGCATTCCTTTAAGCCTGATTTTTGAAGCCTAAGGAAACAATGGCTCAGAAAACAAAACTGAAAAAGAGAGAATGTTTGGGAGTTTGTTTGAAAAGAGCCTGAGTTTGGAGCATCCAAAGGACTTTTAAAATGATTTTAAAAAGACTTTTGGACACCTTGCAAGGTATCTGCTGAAAATGCAGGCATACAATAGTGGTATGCGTCACTTTAAATATTGATGGTGATGTATGTGCTTTGTTTCTTACTTAATAATCTGACTGGAGACTTGAGGACAGGATCCAGAGATGCTCTTCTATACACATAAACAAAGTCTTCCAGCTGAGCTAGATGTTCTGACCATTTCTTGAGGAAACCAAGTTCCCTGAGCAGAAACTCGTCTGCAGATAGAACATTTCCCCCCTTTTTCTTTTCTTTTTTCAATTGCTTGAATTCCTGGAATGGGGGTGATTTTGCCTCATGCTGTCTTTTCATGGCTTCCTTATCAGTAGTCAGACTGCGGCAGAGCCTGGGTATAAACGCCATGTGAATTTTAAAAAGCACTCGTTTAGCATCATTAATCTAATTTATTACTGTGAAATTCTTGCCCTCTTATGGTTCCGGAATCTTCAAGAATGGCCTTTCTGAAACAGTGATGTTTGTTTATCCTTGGAAGTGCAAAGCATTCAGATAAGCCGACTCTGGGATTAATCTCAGAGAGCGAGTTGTGAGGTGCACTGGAGTGGAACAAACTTCCTAAAATTTAGCTATAACCCCATGCTTGTTCCTCCAACTTGTCTAGAAGTTTATACAGTTTTTCTTTCTATTTTAGCAAACAGCAGCAAAATAAATGAGCTCTATTGCAAAAAAAAAAAAAAAAAACATAATTGAAAAAAAAAAAAAAAAAAAGAACTCTATTGCATGTAAAATTATCTGAGGAACAATGTATTCGTGAAAGCTTTCACGGCCGGGATCTAATGGTTGTGGTGGGGTTTTCGGGCTCTTTGGCCGTGTTCTGAGGGTTGTTCTTCCTAACGTTTCGCCAGTCTCTGTGGCCAGCATCTTCAGAGAACAGAGTGCTGAAAAACCCACAACAACCAGAGCACAACAGCCTGAAAAACCCACAACAACCACTATCTGAGCAACTGCTTGGTTTTAGGCGTTGTTTAGACTTGGTCTTCATTGATCTCCAAAGGCTAATTTTAATTTATGGGAGATTCAGTTACGTTGTGTGGTTTCTGTGCTGAAATTCCAGTCTCTTGTTACAAAGCAATGGTCTAGCTCTGTTTGAATGAATATATTTTCACGGATCTACAAATATACGAACAGCTGATACCTTTAACCAGCCATTCAGAATGTAAAGCAAAACAGATATACAGTAATCTTTATAGTGGCGTAAAAGAGAGGTAGGGTCTGAAACACTTATTAAAGTGGCAGAAGGGAACCTTTTTGGAGGGAGGACTCAGGGCATAATTCCAATCTGGATCTACCCATAGAAATGTAGACCTGCTTACTTTGCTGTCTTCTTTTACTACAGGCAAAATTGGCACCTGGAGGGAAGAGTATCTTTGCCCAGAAAATAGCTGCTAAGAGAGCAGTCGAAGGGCCTCAGACCTCCGCTGCCGCTGTCAATAAAGCTGAACAGACAAGTCTTGAAGGTACAGTTCCAGAGGCATCCCTGCCTCCTCTTGGAGACACTGTTTCATAGAGATAAAGGTAACTGTAGAAATTTGTAGAAGTGTCTGTTGAGAGGTAAACATAGAGAAATAAATATCTCTCGAAAACTTGCTTCTTGGGACAGATGCTACAGTTCTGTGGATTTGTACTATATGTGAGGGGGCGCTGATGTTTTATATCCCTGGATTTCTGGCACAGGATTGTAAGTCAACCCAAGGGAGAGTAAGTAATATCCTGGGTTACTCTGATTAGAAATGGATTAAACTGCTTCATGCTTTTGGATCCACTGAGGAAGAGTACTGGAATCCATGCATTCTTATTTGTAATTCTTTGTCACTCAGCATTGACTGCAGGAGTGGAGAGCTGTGACTCTCCAAATGTCTGTGGATTCTAAAATCATAAGAGAGTCACAGTCAAAAGTTTTTTGCCCAACCGAATTCCTCTCAGGTGGAGCTTTAACGTGTCCGTTTTTAACTAATGTTTTAAAGTTAGTCAAAGTTGTGGCAGTTAGTCCTTAAGGTTCCACAACATTTTTGTCTTCTTTCCTTTTTATTTTCCTTTTTTTTTGCCTGATATATTAATGACAAAGTTAACTTGACTTGTATGAAGCCTCATAACAAGCAAGCAAACAAACCCCAAGCATCTTCTTTTCTGATCCAGAGATAAACATGGCTTCATATCATTACTATTGGAGAAGTAGCAAATGCTTGCTATTTATTTGTTTACTGACTGAAAGAAGAAGGGAAAGTAGTGTTTACTTCTTTTAGACCAGCATCCTTTGATTTCTTGTTGTTCATAGATTCTATCTTCAGGAGCTAAAGCATAAGAAAAAGACATAATTCTGTCAGTTCTGTAGCACCTCTTTCCAAATGGTTCCTGAAAAGCTGGAATAAAGCTGAATATTGTTCCAAATATTGCTTCCTTAATGTCTGAAACAGATAGACAGCTTGTAATATGTTGTCCATTTTGATTTGTTTGTAAATTGTGCTCACAAAGTTCTTGGTTTCTAGATAAGTCTGTGGAGAATGTACACTGCCAGTGGTCTCATATTGTCACCGGGGAGGGTCTTGGAAGCCTCGTTGGTGAGCAAGAAGCCCAGAACATCCACAAGGAGAACATAGAGAGGTTGCAGTCTATGTCGAAAGAAGAAATCTTAGAGGAGCGGAAGCGACTCCTGGCTCAGCTAGGTACAAATTTTCCTAGCCTTCCTCATCATATGTTGGTAGATTGTAAATAAATTTGTACACGTCATATTAATTTATGTACTTGAGTAGTTAAAAATCCCTCACTATTTTTAAGATTGGGGTGATTTCCAACCATTTTGAAAATATACTCCCACCCCCTCCCACATGCACATAAGATCAGAGGCCAGAAAATCAGTAGTAGAGGAAGAAACAAGAGACATAAATGATTACACTAGTACAAGTAGAGAAAAATTACTGAAGATGGTGAAAATGGAGATTTTGAAAACAGAAACAAAGGCTCAATATAAGAAACAACAATTTGAAAATAAATTAAGCAGTTGGAAAAATAAACCACTGCATGAGCAACACCTGAGAAATATAGATGGAAAGCATGATCATAATTCAACATAGGCATTGTTAGAACTGGGGACCCTTAAGAAAAAAAACAAAGGCTTGATTTTTGCTGCAGAAGAATAACTGCTCTAAACTAATGTGATGAAAGCTAAGATCCAAGGGATTAGTGCTATCAGCAAGTGTTGACTCTGCCAAGAAAAAGATGAAACTGTTAATTTCCAAAAATTACAAAATTAGACATGACAGAGTGGTAAAATTAGTGCACTGGTCATTATGCAAAAATATAATTTGCCAGCCTCCAAAGCCCATGGGAACATCAGGTAGAAAGTAGCAATGTCAAGATCCTGTGGGATTTCCGGATCAAAACTGATAGACACCTTGAACATAACACACCAGACACAATAGTGATAGAACAAAGAAATGTCTGGACCATTGACATCTCAATTCCAGGGGATGCCAGAGCTGAAAATAAAGAATTGGAAAAACTAACAAAGTACAGAGACCTGGCAATCAAAACATCTTGTTTGTGAATGAAACACACTTCAATATTCCCTGTAGTCATTGGGGCTTAGGGAACAGTACCAAAAAATTTCACATAATATTATAAGCAGTTGCAGATTTCAGAAATAACATAATCAGAGCTACAAAAATAGTATTAGGAACAATGTATATACTGTGCCAGTATTTAACAAATACTTAGGTTTTTGGTTAAAACTTGTATCTATTATAATATACTACTCAGTGTTTGCTTAATTTTGATAGACTGTGCCTGGTGTTTCTGAATAATAATAATAATAATAATAATAATAATAATAATAATAATAATAATAATAATAATAATAATAATAATAATAATAATAATAATAATAATAATAATAATAATAGATCCTGTGGGATTTCCACATCCAAACTGATAAAACACCTTGAACATAACACATCAATGACAGAAGCAAGAAAAGTCTGGATCATTGACATTGCAATTCCAGGGGATACCAGAGTTGAAGATAAAGAATTGGAAAAACTAACAAAGTACAAAATTGAACCATCTTGCCTCTGGAAGAAACACTTCAGTGGTCCCCGTAGTTATCGGGGCTTTGGGAACAATATCACACAATATTGTAAACAGTTACAGATCTCAGAAATAACACCATCAGAGCTAAAATAAAATGGCAACATTAGGGACAGCATACATACTGGGTTGATATTTAACAGATACTTAGGTTTTTGGGTTAAAGCTTGTATCTGTTATATAATACTAGCCAATGTTTTCATAATTTTCATTGTGTCTGGTATTTTTGAATGATAATAATAATAAAAATACCTGTGGGGATCTCTGGAACTTGGTACAATTTTTGCACATTCTCTTTTACTGAAGACACCTTCAATCCAGGATTTCTGGGACTGAACAAATATATAATAGTTTAAAAATACATAACTATATGCTGGTAGGATAAAATAAAGATCGGTTCTCTAATATCTATAATAAATTCTGCACGTATCTTATTATGTTTGCCCCTTAACACAAGGTTCAGTAAAGGTAGCACAACACTGTACTGTACATGAGATCAATTTATACAATCTTTTCTTTTGCCAAGACAGGATTAGTATGAGCTGCTGACTGAGCTATATGGTTTAAAAATCCCATTCACTGTAGAGAAGAAAGCTCACC